AGAGAAAAGATAGAGAGTGAGAGAGTGAGAGAGCGAAAGAGAGAAAAAGAGAGAGAGAGAGAGAGAGAGAGAGAGAGAGAGAGAGAGAGAAAGCCAGAGGTGAGAACAACCACCCAACGCCGTCGTGCAGAAACGACGAGAAAAGCCACACGGCGGACGGACGGACGCCATCTTGTTCTTCCGCCTCGGGCCGCCGCCGCGACGCCCCCTGGCGGCGAGCGACCGACCTACCGATGAGCGTCCAGTGTCTCTGGACGAGGCGGGAGAAGGACGTGTCGCCGGGCAGGTCTCCCAGCTCCTTACGTATGCCCAGCGGATCCAGGCTCGCCGACCGATGTCCGTTTTGCTGCGCGCCGGGAGAGAGAGAGAGGTCAGAGGTCAGAGGTCAAGGGTCAGAGAGCGCCGCCGCGAACGATCGATCGGCGAATCGGCGAGACGGATTTTCCGACGAAGTTTCGGACAATCACGACTAGACGGTGACGAGCGAAGTGCCGGTGGAACTTGCGCGGGTCGTAGGATCTTTTTAGAAGTTGAGAGATGTGTAGCTTCGTCGTGGGTTCTAACTGAGAGAATTACATCAGAGCAGACAATGCCAACTCAACACGCACGCACGCACGCACGTGCGCACGTGCGCACGCCATACACACGTACACACACACGCACGCACGCACGCATGCACACACACACACGTACACACACACGCACTCACGCACACACGCACGCATGCACGCACGCAAGCACGCACACACACATACACACACACACCACACACGCACGCACACACACACAGGCGGATCTAGAGGGGGGCTGACTTACAAGCACTAATTTTTTAACGTTTTTACGCCCTAAAGTATGGCTATTAAACATGGCTGTACAAGCTTAAACCTCTGAACCCAAATATTATGTGTCCTTTTACTTCTATTTTAGAAGTATTAATTCAGTGCCTATAGACATACTGACATTAAAGAGTCTTAAAGTCCCATCGTGATGCAAGGTATAGATGTGGCAAAACTACATGAGTCGATGTTACGATATCTGTGGAGAATGTTAATGTGAAATCATTACCGTTTACAGCCACAATACAAGCGAGTTATGCATCCAATCATGCGATATCAGTGGCCGATCTCTTGTACCGCCATCCATTCATTAATTCCGCCCCCTCATCCTCCTCCATTGCCATTCTATCTCCACTTTCCGTCCATCCTCTCATCCTCTCGGGTCACTCCCATCCATTCCATCCCTCATTCATTCCATGGCCTATTCTCCCTCTTCCATTCCATGATCAATATATCCTATATTGATATCAAAATATCATCATTTTTTATGATCATATATTTTATATTTATGATAATTTATGATCAAAAATAAAAAATAAAATAAAAATAAAAATATGACTACAGTCCTCCATACATTTCACCCCCTCATCCGTCATTCTACGACTAATCGAATAAAGTGCAACAACCATGACAGAGCAAAACACAAACTATGCAAGAGCATCTGATCAATATCATCGCATCGCAGGGTTTCCTTCTGGAAAATGTTTCATCCGTCGATCGATAAGCGAGAGAGTCTGCTGCCTAATGAGCGCGGTTGAAACCATAGCACCGCCACTCAACGAAAACGTGCGTTCGATTTCACTTCAAACAGCATTTCACCCCCCCCCCCCACACACACACACACACACACACGACACCGCACCACAACCGACGCCACACGCACACGCCCCACACGCACACGCCCACACCACGCACACGACGACACACGCACAACACGCACCACACACCACGCACCACACGGCACACGCCCCACACACGCACAATCACCACACACCACATCACACTTACACCACACCACACACAACACACCACACACGACAACACACACACACACACACCCACCTTTCCATAGCTACCGTAAGTACACACCTCTCCCCACACCCACCACCACCACGCACCTTACCCCGCAGCACCCTCCCGTAGCGCTTCCCGACCCCACCCGCACACACACCACCCACCCCCACCCGACACACACAGCTCACCACACCCCCACCTACACCCACCCCACCCCACCCACACACACAGTTCACACACCCCCACCCACACCCCACCCAACCACACACACACACACACACCCACCCACACACACCCACCCCACACACACAGTCACGTCACCCACCCACACACCACACCCCACCCACCCAACAACACGTTTGTCCCACCCCCCCCCCCCCCCACACGAGGCGCCACAGCGCACCGAGGCGCCGCGCCGCGCCCAGCGCCACAGCAGTCACGAGGCACCTCCACCCCACCACCGAGACACTCCTCTCGTGTCGCGATACCTCCAGGCAATGTCAGCCCAGTCCACGACACGGCACCCCACATCAGCACCGACCCACCCTCACACACCAGCCACTCACCAACCCACCCCACACCCCACACACACACACCCCCCACACCCACGCCCACACAAGCCAGGTCACACACCCACCCAACACCCACACGCCACCCCACACTCGCGCAACACCCACCCCCCCCCAACCCCACACACATCGCCACCCCACCCACACTACTCACACACGACACACACCTCCCCCTGTACGCCCCACTCCCACACAATGAGACTTGGATATTGATAACCCGATCATCCAATTCACGGGGCCCAGCAGCCCTACGTCTGCTGCTCACTCCCTGCCACGTGACCTTCCCGACCTCATCCCTGATAACTTCACAGCGCGCACTGATGTGACCTTGAAACAAACTTGTGGGTGCTGCATGGCCGCCGGACAACATGCCTTTAATTTGTTCCGCGGTGTTAAAACATTCTTCCGAGCAACACGGACCTAGTGCTGCTGCCCCTGCTGGTTGATTATGCGCTCATTAGCGAGTCTCTCAACTTTGCATATCATTACATGATTACATGCATTAATGGGGCCCTTTTTGATATCGCTAACCCTAACCCTAAGCCTAACCTAATAACATAACCCTCAACCATTGATATGACCGATCTTCAGTTTGTGGCAACACCTCCTGTACATCTGGGAGGTAGTCCACCGGGGTTGCTATAGACCGCAACACGATCCAGTCATTTATAGTCACTTAGTTTCCACCTGCACGATATAATATGCCGCTTGTTCCCAACTACGAAAACACACAGCCACACGCCCACGCTCGCAGACACGGCACGCACGCACCACACACATACACTAGTAAAATACAATCGTACAACCCCCGCGAAGCATGAAGTTTATAACGTACGCCGAATTAGGGGTTAGGGCAAGTCACATTATTTTCTAGCGAAAACAGCATCCCTAAAATTTCTGCTTCACCGTTCTAGCCGCAGAAGCGCGGACAGTACGACACCCATGAACATAAACATGGAATGTTTACACCTAACTGTAGTATATGGCACTCGTCAAGCTGCGACATGCACAGGGTCTAGAGATGATACGCACATTATTATTACCTCTACTGTACCCGGCCTCACCAGTCTGTGCCGCACATCGCGGCCGCGTCACTGTATCGGTCAATATAACGTTTACATTATTTTATGCATTACTTTACATCATTCAATGAAAATGCATATAAGACGTGTGGCTCCTGTGATATGTCTACACGCTTACATGCGCACCGGTTTGCGTCCATCCTCTAGACTACGCAGGTGAATTGTATGTTGATGGTGTGTGCTCGAGCTCAGTTGTCTTCTCCCACACTCTCAACTTGAATTCTCCGCCCCCCGACTAAAACACACAAGGAACTCCCGGCATAACAACTGCTCACTATCTATAAGAGCCGGGGGGGTCAACTTCGCATAGCCCGTAAACTTCATTCACATACACTTACAAAATATTATGAGATCCTTTTATGTAATAAACTCACATGCCGTAGCCGAAATGCGCTGTCGACTATTTTCTCTTTTGCTAGAGCCCCCTACACTCGTCTAGCATTGGCTCATGGTGAAATATAAGCCACTCAGCCCTAGCAATTACTCTCCTCTCCTGTGATTCTGAGGTGGGGCGTAAAAGGGCGAGGTCTTATCTATAAGCTTCAAGCGGGGCGCACGGAGACGGTAGTGGTCCTGGGCTGAGACGCCTATCTACCTACCTATATATATAGAATATATATAGGGAATTTAATCAGTTGTCATCGCTCGCTGCCCGCTGCTCTCTCCCACGTATCTTATTATCACGCCCGCCGCGGACGCGCGCAACACTTGCAATGCCTGCCAGCCTTTTTGCCCCTTTTTACCAGGCTTGCATCGCCAACAATCAAGCGCACCACTAGAATTCGCAGATACAAAGCTAGGAAGCATGAGGACCTCATAGAGTGTCACTGCCAGAGGGACGATGCAACAAGGCCCCAGCTCGCCACCACTATCATGATCAGTTTTTATAATCCACATTTGCACACCAGTCGCGCTGTAGCAGCACGCTCCTCTACTGCAACGATTCTATAATCAACCCAATGCTGCCGGTAGTTCTGTAAAAGCCGGCCACGAAATTAGACCCTGTCATGTCAAGGATTCTCCACTGTCTGTACCCTCTATTAGCTACTGCTGCACCGG